TGCATTCCTGCTGCGGCAGACAACCCTGCAGCATCTTCATCACGATCTTATCCCGGGTGCCTGATGATCAAAGAGGTAGGTAGATTGATGTCTCAGACATGATACTCGTATTGCAGCCAAATGCATTTCTCTCTCTCCCTCCATTCTTTAATGTCTCAGAGAATCGTCTCGTTCCGTCGGGACGGTCCATAGCGGTTTTGGTCCACCGCAATCTCGTGGTTTGGCATGTATAGGTGGCTTCATCTCTGTACCCCTTTTTTATGTCTCAGGTTGTATTTTGTGAGGCCACCCGCATTCCATTGCGCGCAAGCATTTCAAGAAGTGATATTTGTTTTTACGCTGGCATTTCAGCGACTTGCCTGTTACTTTCTTCAACAGTTCATCATGGACTACGGAGATTTAGGCCATGTCTGAGTCAAATGCCGCACAATTTGCCTGGCCTTTTGATTATCACAATCCCACCACCACAGACAGATAGACTCATCATTGGCTCTGAAACTTCGACACGGCGTGAGACACAGAAACTTGATCAACATCAACTCGGCGAATACTTTTTTCGAGACGACATTCCCCAGCTTTTAGGAGAGTTTGCTTAGGGTGCCATTAACTTTATGACGCTGGCAGACTCGACAGAAATAGCCTCGTAATCACGTTTTGACAGCGGCAGGTAACGTCTGCCTCATCACAACTTGATCACATATCTAACAGTCTTCTCGTATCAGGACTCGTGTCTCGGTGGCAATGGGTAGTAGCCCAAGTCAGCTCAGCCGGGATGTACAGTATCAGTATCAGCATCAGCATCAGCATCAGCTCTAGACTCCCTCCCTTACCGCTTGATCTTTACTGTTTGCATTACCAATATCTTGCCTCCCCGCTTTCTATGTTTTATTAGTCTCTCGCAGTCACAATCACAATCGCAATCACAATCATATCACCAACGGCTTGCGAGGCTTCTCTTCTTCGAGACTTAGACTGACTGACTGGCTGGCTTGCTGACACGCCCCCCTTCTTAGTACAGCTATCTACAGTCTACGGCTATTCCCTTGGCCGAACTCGCTTGGCTCATTTCCACTTTTGCTCCCTTCTCTTCCAGTTCCTGCGCGCGTCCACGTCCAGTCAGTCTTGTCTTGGGGACTACGCCTAAGGGCCAAGCACAGTCCAAGCAAAACCTTGCCGCCTCATCAGATCATCGCTTCTCAATCTGTCACTCTGTCACTCTGTCTGTCTGTCTGTCTGTCAGTCATTCATTCATTCAGTCCTCGTCCAGTCGCTCACACACACACGCCCCCTCAAGTTTGTCCCCCTCTTGATCGCGGCGTCGGTCAATAGCCCCTCCTCCCCCATGCTTAGCTACAGTGTCTATTCTAATCCCCTATTCATGTCCAGATCCAGATCCTTTTCCGTCCGTATGCATGCTCTTTCGGTAAGATCTGCCCTGGCCCTAATCCCCTGCAGTGAGTGCCTGGGCAGAGAACGTTGTGAACCGGGTCCTTGGAATTGCGATGCACCACGGCAGAAGGGATGTCATTACTACCCCTGGCCTGGCTCTATCCACTGTAATATCAATCTTTCAATGTTAGAGAAAGGCGAAAATGCCGCGTTTGTTCAGCAAGACTGCAAACACCATGCCATCTGTTACGATTCATGGGAATCATCAGTTTGGCTGAGAGGATGAATGTTTCGTTTTAGCCTTGGACACGTTTGAGCTCAGACTTTTCAATGTCAAGTTGAGTACGTACGTAGTGGTTTATTAGTTAGTAGTTCACCGCTTGGACCATTGTAAACCAGTGTCACGGCTATAATCGCCCGCTAATCTATCGAGTCTAACTTAGGCTCGTACCTGAGGCAAGAGTCTGATCTCGTCTCGTGGCTCTCAGTCCCTCACTCCATGGGCTCGACTTGCTAGCACAGCACAACAGTTGTATCACCAACAAACAAAGCCTCGGAGCTCAGACCAACAAATCAATTACAGAACCCAGCCAGTAATCCACTTAAAACTGGCCATGCCTTGCTGACCACATCAGCCAAAGGTCATGTGCTCTTCCCGCCCTCACAGCTAAGTAAGGTAAGGTGAACTGAGAGAGTTGTGCTCAGACCAACATTCCATATGGAAACGAAACCATCAACGTACAGTACTTTTCAAACACAAGAAAAAGGATTGACAGGGGATGTCCCGGCCGAGAGGGTATGGGGCGGTGGGAATAGTCCGATGGAGGGAGGGAGGGAGGGAGGGAGGGGGGAATAGAATGTCTCTCAATATTTCTCGCCCTCCTCATCCTCGTCCTGCCCTCCCTCTACGGTCTACCCCTCCCATCCCATCCCCCCTTGACAAGGCACACACACGCTTGCACAGCACAATCAGCTACTGATGAGACATTGCACGCCCTTAAACTTGGCTTGAATTAGGTGATCAACACTAAAAGTCAACGGTCTGATAGACAGCCGCAAAAAGCCTCCTCTCTAGTCTCTAGTCTCTGCAGTCTGTACCTATTAGCCTGCCGCAAAGCAGCCTCTCTAACCTCTCTACCCTCTTCTCCAGAAACTACTGTAACTAATCCCATTACCCGTTGCATCAGCCAGCCATGGTCAGTCCGCTACTGCACTGGACCACACTGCACTGCAGGTATGCATGTATGCATGCATGTATGCCGCAAGGCTGCATTTCAAGATGCAATTCATGACTGAGCCCCGTCTCCTATTACTCTTGTTGTCTAGATAGCGGTCAATATCATCTCTGACCATGTGGATCGGCTCTGTGATTTTCTCTTCTCTTCTCTCTCTGCCCTGCCTGGGTACCTACCCCTCTCTGAGCATCCTCCATTCTTTCACCTAGCTACTATATGTACATGTATCTACGCTCTCATCCCACCGCTCTTCGTAATACAGACCAAGATAGCTAGACTGATTGATGATGGTCTCTCTGTCTCTCTCTGTCTGTCTCCATAGCAAACAAAGAGCCGCCTGTGTAGTCTAGTTCACCCCCCTGCGGCCATTCCATCCCATCCCCTCGAGACCCTTCACTCTTCTTCTCCTCTCTCAATCAACCGTCAATCGGCCAAAGTCAAACGCCGTTTCTGTCCCTTGGATGAGCCTGGCCTCTGATCCAACCGTGCCGTATGTACTATGTAATGCCCCTCCAGTCTCCAAAACCTTGCTACTGTAGACGCCTTTCCCGCTTCCGTCCCCCAAACTCTCAGTCTCAGTCCGGTACGTACATTCATAGTTACAATCTAACTCAATGAGTGCCCATGTCGAACGATCGTATATCATCATCAAAAATCAAATTCTACCATATCCCTTACTGTACCTACTCCCTTCCACTGAATACCTAGGTACCCTGGTAAATCTCAACGGTATCTGCCGCGTATCCACCGGCAGTCTTCGGGTGACACTCGATGACCTCGCATCCGTTGCTTGTTGCCCACTCCTCCCCTAACAAGACCGTTGTGTTCAGTCCATACTGTAGAAGCCCCCCCCCCCAGAGAGGCCTGTTCCCTGCCTGGTCCCCAGCCTACTATACCTAACTGCTAACTTGAGCACTTCTAGTTGCAGGCTTGGCTTGGCTTGGCTTGGCTTGATTTGACCTGGGCCGTTCTCTCTCAGCTTGTCTTCGTCTCCTCGTCTCCTCGTCCCTCTCCAGTTTTGTGCATCTCCGCTTACTCTTTAGCTCAGTATAGCACAGTGATAATCAACCACGGATTCCAAACTCCGTCCCCCAGTTGGTCAATCCATGGGCTGGCTACCTATATGCCGAGTAAATAATATAGGTTGGTGGTTTTAGTGCATCGCATAAACCCCATTCAGTACCTACACTACAATCAGTGCCAACTCCAAGGCCATCTGCTGGTAGGCCCTTTGAATCTAGAGCCACTCATTGGCTCGTTTGCCCTTCTCCGCCTAGACTTGCGCCTGTAACAAACCAATCATTAGCTGGGCACACCAGAAGCAAGAGCCCAACCACCGAGTCTCAGTCCTGAGAGAGAGAGATGTGCTGGACAAGACAGAATGGGATGGGATTGGACTGTACAGGTACGCAGAAGTCCTCTCAGTTTTAAGTGTCCTTCAATTGAAAAACCACATCATATCTCGTACACATTTCAATCGAATTCACAACAATAATTCTGTTTATACATGGTCATCACCCTACTGGATTTGACCATCGTGAACAGTACTCAAATGCGTAGGTAAAAGAACAAAAACAGTGAAAGGAATCTTCAGAATCAACCCCGCATCATTTGCTATCATCCTCCTCTCGAAGCCCTGAGCGAGCTCACTCTTTTGCTTGACATCTTCTGCCCCAGTACCGTTTGATAGGATCTGGCTTTTCTCTTTCCTCCAGTCTCCAGAACACCTTAATCATCACCCGAGACCATATCGCTACGGCTCTCGTTCTCTCTACCCAAATGGCAACAATAGCAGAAGGGACAACATGAACAACTCAAATGTACAAACGTGACAAAGCATCAGCGTAAATAAAACCAAACCGTATGGTGCCGTGAGGCTATCCGTCTTTCCTGGAAACACAAAGTGGCCGACCGATTAAAAATAATACAACGACTTTGCAGTAGTTGCTTTTCGGGCAAAATCCTCCCCCCTCCGAGAAACGAACAGTCTGTCAAGGACAATTCACATAAAATCAAGTGCCGTACAACAAAACGTCCAATAAACCACGAGAACCGAACGGAGGGGTTGTTTGTCGCCAAACTCGCGTGTTTTTCTAGATCCTGACATCTTGTCCTGTATTTGTTATCGCGATCCCCCCGCCCGCTGCTTTTTTTTTCCCCTCCTCACTTGAGCCACGTTCCTGTCACTTCCCGGTCAACGAAAATGTGGGCGTGTAATCGATTCGGAAAGGGTATTAAAAACAATGCATTCGTCATCAACTTGTCGGCAGCCTTCCAGCGGGAACCAACAAGACTCTTCGGCAAGCGTTGTCATATGTAATTCCGACCCTCTCCGTTGACGTGTCCGGCAGCGTCAACTCTTACCCTGCAATCTCCTCAGCGGCTGACATCTCGTCGTGCGCCAGGTTGGCCTGGTGCAGGTCGGTTGAGCCTTTCAATCATAGTCTTGTCGATATCGCTTTTATCTACCAGATTGCTCAGACTCATGATCGATGCATTTCCTCCTTGGGACTGCTGTCCCTGTCTCGCAGGGGTGGACGCACCACTTGACCCATTTTGGCCTGTCGGGGAACGACCGCCAGGTGCGGAAGCTACATAACTACCAGCTGTTGCAGCTTGAGGCAAACTTCCGCTCGTTGGGTTTCGTGGGCTCTGTCTTGCACCTTGATACGGAGGGTACCCCACTCCACCTGGGCTGCTGTGGTTTGAAAATTCTGCTGGAGATCTTCTGCGCGGGTCTTCATCCACGGCACTTCGCGGAGGAGGCAGTCTATAGCCTTCATCCTGTTCTTCTGACGTCCTGCGACGTCGTCGCCCTGCAAGTTGACTGCCGTCATCGGTTCTCGCTTCGCCATAAGACGAAAAGGATTCTGTAGGTGACTGGACAGGCGCGTAGTAGTTTCCAGGAGGGGGAGGAGCACTGGCATGCTGATAGGCAGCATGGGGTGGTGGAGGTGCTGGGACTGTGCCTGGGGCCAGTGGTTGCCCATAGGCACCAAACAGTTGAGTGCCCGGGGGTACACCTCCTGGGAGCGCTGACACGGGGATAAAAGCTGTCGAGCTTGAAGAAGATACGGGCTGAAAGATACATTCTTGGTTCATACGGGCGCAATTCTGGCATTTGCCACCGGGGGCGCTCTGGTAGCCGCTGCAGCGGATCTAGAGATAGTCAGCATTTTTGAACGACAATGGAACAACCCTCAAGCATCGTGGCAGTCACAAACCTTTCTCTTCCGGCAATATCTGCAAGCAATTGATGTTCGTTGTCGCGGGGCTGCCTGTGTCAGAGGAGGCGCACTGCCATGTCCTACTGGGTATTCATAAACGCCGGCGGGAATGTGACGGTAGCCTGGGTGGCCATTTGGCGGTGGAGGTCCTGGAGGAGGAGGCTGTCCACGGTAGTAGGCATAGTAGGGTTCCGTGCTATACGCCTCTTGCCCGTATGGTGGACGGCGGTCATCATAGTAACCACGTTGGTCCGGCGGCGGAGGAGGATAGGCTGAAGATCGGGGATCAGATTGCGGCTGCAAAGGCGGAAGGTACTGTTGAGGTTGTCCGGGCGGAGGCTGATGACCGGGAGGAGGGTAGCCATTGACGGCATTGGGCGATGCGTATCGCGGGTCGGCAGGATAGCCACGTCCCGGAGCTGCAGGCGGCGGGCCGTAGCTGCGGGAGTCGTGGATAGAGGGTAAAGTAACTGATGTAGCCATACTGGATGGAGGTGCGTCGGAGGGCCGCTGGGTGGTATCTGGCGGAGGGGGATAATGTGACTGGGGTCGAGAGTGAGTGTCTTCTGGGCGGCTCTGCTGGGGATACTCTTTTCGATAGCTGTCGTCGGCCATGCTATGTTGAGGCGCAAAGGGCCGCAGACGGGCAGATGCGGTCAGCGACGATGGTACCAAATGCGTGCAGTTGAATGGGTTCAAGAGACGTTTCTGCAACTAAGCATTTGGCGGTGGAAATAATCCCAAGACCAAGTCGAAGTGGAGGGAAAGGAAAATAGTCAAATAATATAAACCGAGTCGTGGAGATCCTGGACTATCTTTTACTCTCTTGAGCTGTCGCGCGTGTCTTGTGCCTACTGTATTGTAGGTTGACGGGATGACCGATTGCTGCGAGTCAAGAATGAGTGAGTGAGTGTATGTCTCGGCGGGAGATGACAACAAATTCCACGAGGTCTTGGAACCGCAATCCTAAGCCTGGCCTGACGGAGGTTCTGGTTCCTGAGAGGCGGAGGAGTGTGAAAATGGTCTCTGGCGTGGGCGGGAAGAGTGCGGCGGGACAGGCCGACAATTATAGCGAGGGAGGGAATGGGATGGGAGGAACCTCCGATCCAATCTGATCCACGTCGACGGTGTACGTGCGTGCGTGCGAGCGGTGCGGTGCGTGGGAGGAACCAGGAACCACCCAACCGTAAATGGAGCCTGGGGTTTTTGGGGATTGTGGATTGTGGATTTGCTTTGCTTTGCTTTGCGAAGACTGGGATTTGAGACTTGATGGGGGTGAGGGAAGAAAAAAATAAAATAAAAGAGGGGACACTTTTGGGCCCTTTTTGCCCTTGCTTTCCCTTTTTCTTGGGGGTGCGGAAATAGTCAGGTGAGAGACAAAATATGTACTGTCTCCCTCCTACTGCTGCTGCTGGTCTGTCTGTCTGTCTCGCTGTGCGTGTCTGCAAGAGGAGATATCCTCCCGAAGAAGCGTTTGTTGAGAGAAGTGGGATTGAGTTATGTCTGACGCCCCGAATAGAAACGGAAAGAGAGTCGTTTGTTCTCGTTCGTGAGCGCCGTTCCTTTTTCTTTTTTTTGGTTCTTTTTCTTCTCTTTTTTTGTAAATTGTTTCTTTTTCCTTCACGGGTGACAACAGAGCATGTACAAACGAGATGCCATCCCCTGGACCAAGGTCAAACAGGAATGAGGTCCCAGCTCTGATATGGTGTTTTGATTGTACTTGATGGGAATGCTGATGGAGAAGAGGAGGTTGCGAGTGGAGAGTTGAAGAACTGAGAGAGATATGTATGATGGAGAAGTAAGAAGGGGAGGTGAGGGTAAGGTAAATTCAGGGCAGGTGCTATACCTACCACGTCAAGCTACAGGTAATGTATCTCCTGTCCCTACGGTACCTACCTAAGGTAAGGTCTGTCTGTTCCATCCCATGCAATTGCGGCGACAGGGAAGTGGGGAGCTAATGGCAGGGGATGAAAGGGTGTGAGTCTAACGAAAGCGACCAAGAAAGGGTTTGTGCGAGGGGCCAGGCGCAGGTGCAGCGTGCGTGGTGTAGTGTAGTGTAGTGTACGCCGTAGTGCGCAGTGTTAGGTACTGTAGTGTGTGCACTGCAGCTAAGGTGCAGCAGCAGTAGTAGCAGGAAGGAAGGGATTAGGGTGGAACTGGCTGTGGACTGGACTGACTGCCTGGCTGGCGGGCAGGACAGTGGAGGCAAGTGGCGGAAGGCCAGGGCGGGAGTAAGTTAATGGGACGGATGGGCCGGTGTCGTGCCGTTCCCAGGGAACCGGCCCCAGCTAGTGGAGGTAAGTTAGCAGGGCACCTCATGGACCAAAAACCAAAAAACCACTTTAGGGACAGCTCCCGTCCTCGGGGTACTGTAGTGCACTGTATCTAAGTGTGTACTAACGCAAGCAAGCCCCTAAGAACTACCTAAGACCTAAGACCTACCTGGGTACTAAGGTAAGACCTGGCACCTAAGGTACCGTACCCGCTGCAGCCCAGCCCGAGCAGGCTGCCCTTGCGCTCTGAGGTTTAAGCCCCGGCAAGCACTGTACTGTACCCAGGAGCCCGGCTGCCAGGCGAGTTCGACTAAAATATTACTTGGGTTAGTTTGGAAGCAAAGCTGCGAGTACGGGCAAAATGAGATTCATTCATGATCGTAATTCAAGCCAGGTCTCCATACCTCACCATTCGATACAATACAGTAACGTACAGTATGGGCGGGCAAACCGCCCCAACACAAACTAATCTACGCAAGCGCCTATTCTGATACAAGCTACCGATCTTTCAATGGGAGACTATATTTAACAAACTTCTAAAGAGGCAGGCAATAAAGACTGGATGTCAAGGAAACAAAGCATAGAACCGGGTCCAGGGCGTTTCTGGCGTTAGAGTCGTGGGCTACCTAGAAGCCAATCCGGCTCGGGAGATGAAAAGACCAGCTGAGCACGTACCAGAATGAGAATGAGAATACCTAACAATAACAATAACAGAGTGGACTGCCTTGGGTATCACTGACGGGTACAGTAACTAACTACCTAGTAAAATCAGGAAGCCTGCGATTCAAGCAAGCTGGGGTTAGGTAGCGAGGCGGAGGAATGGCAAGGCTACACCAGGCTGCCAATATCAATAACAATATTCATACCCATATGTATGTTCATCGACGCCGCGAGGACCAGACCGTAAGCGATTGGCCCAGCATGTATCGCAACGAAACGAATTGATTGCATCGTCTTTGTTCTTCTGGACCAGGCCATCAATTCGAGCCGATGACGTGACACAATAGAAGATTGCTTCCTACTTGATATGCGTATCCTTGATTCAATAAGAGACAAACAAGAAAGAGGCTTTCTATGGGAGACTTTCAAGCGGTCAACGGGCGGAAGGGCAAGGCAGCGGATAAGTTAGTTAGCACTTATCAACGGTTAAAGGTAATTGCGTAGACCAAATAAAGTCTCAGGTCAATATTGACCAAAGCAAATGTTGATAAGCGAGGGGCAAGGGAAATATGCTTGGACATTGGGCTCTTCTTCCACTGGAATGTCCGCCGACAACCACATCTCAACGGGCACGGCGCCTCCCTCTCTCGCTTGTCTTGTCTCTGGGCGTTCCCTGATGGGCTTACTGAGGCCATTGGACTAACTACCCATATGTTCGTCAATCAGATTGATCATAACTTGGCTCAACGGTCCACGCCCGTTGCTGTCGACTAGCTCTTGTTACCTGTCCAAGCTCATCATACCTCGATTCATTCTATGTACCATTTCGACTAACGTCTGGATGGAGACGGACTTTATTGGAGACGATACAGTCAGACACAAGTCCTCGGCATGAACCCATCCAGACTGAATGCAGACCTGCCAGTCAGTAGGTACAGTTCCAGAAATGGCACACCCGCAAAAGCGCGGCAATTCAAGGTTTAATACCCGTAGTTGTAAAGGCCAATATGCCACAAGGTTCGTTCAGCGCCCGTCGTTTTCCGCCTCAGTTAGCAACAATCACGAGGTCACAGGTCTGGTGGGTTGGTGCATTTCGGAAGATGGGAGACACAACCCAAATCTGGGTGCAAATCGAGTGGGGATACGATTGAAGCCTCAGCAATATAGTACTAGGTAGGTATCTAGGTCATGCTCGACTCTCGCACAAAGCCAGAGCAACAATCTGATCGGCCTCTAAGTAAAAGAATTTCTAGGTATGACCAGTGGCCACACAGCAGTAAAGGATTTCGTATTGGTGAGGGGCTCTTTAGTGTCGTGGTTTGATATTTTGCTGATGTTGGCAATCTCTGTTTTGTGGCTGCCCATCCGTCCCAGCGGTTTGGAAAGGGTTCAGCAAATCGAGGCTGAGTGAGGCATGACCGGGGAACGAAGCATAGGGCGCAGCCGCACGGGACGTCACAGGACATGAATTGCTGGGTCTTTCTGGACATGTGTGCAGATGCACCAGTGTACGAATACCGCATTCTCTGTGTATTGTCTGGCGTCAAATCAACCGGGCCACACATGCTCGACACCATCTCGCCCTTCAATCATGACTTGGCTGTAGCATAATTGCTGGTACCTTACAGCAGTCGAGGGGTAAGTTGAACAGCCGAGGCGGCGACACAAGCGGTTGTGGATCCATCCATTCTGACCAAGGAGACGCCGGGCGAACCCAGCTGGTATTTGAGTCCATTCAGAGCATGGCTCCAAGCGTGCGTCTTGCAGCCGCATTGATACATCCCGCATCCCACAATAGATGACAGACGCGAGTGACTATGTTAGTTAGTAGACTAACTGATTACTCTGTTTTATGGCTGGACAAACGCCGGATCCGCCTACAAAGCAAGCGCAAGTCTCGTAAATTAGCTGACGAAACAAAAGATGTTTCTCCCCGGGTGTGCGTGCGTGCACCGGCAAAGCATCTTTGTGGATCTCTCTCTAATCCTGAAAGACGAAGAGAAAAAAAAACCCCCGAGAGCTTTGCACACACAAAAAAAGGGAAAAGTGTGGTTGAAAAGCTCGTGAAGGCCCGTTTGTGAGAGTTGTGGTTGATAGACGTACGTAAGAGTTGGACAAGTGGGCACTGATAGCCTGGATATGGCCGAACCTATCAGAAGCAAGATGCGCCCGGAGCTCAGAAAGCGACTTGCTAGATGTGGCATGAGCCTGGGTTAGGTAGAGACATCGTGTCCAACCAAGTCAAAGGCCATGAATGAAGCATATCCAAGAGGCTCTGTAATGCGTCCCATACCTGGCCAGAGACACAGATACATACAGTCGACTATACATCATGAAGGCTATCCGCTGATTGAGTTACTGTAGTGGTTAGTATCCGGGGAAATTATCCAATCATGAATCAGTGTAACGCTACTGGGGTTATCGTGCCTCTTGTTAGAAACAAGGAGGAGAACAATCTGTAGATGCTGTCAGGGCGTTGCACTGGGCGGGCGAATGGTTTGGGGTTTCTAGAGCCCCGAACCTTGGGCCGCTGCGTGTTCTGGGGTTCTGCGCTTGTTCCCGACGGCGGGTTGCAGAGGCGGCCGCAGGATGCATTGTGAGTGTGTGCCAGATATTCTGGGTACCGTGCGTTCATAGCCTCTCAGAGGGGTAGGTCTATGAAAGATGATGATGGTGATGATG